TCGTTTATGTTATTTTTGTCTTCTTGCATATTTAGTTTATTATTTATTTATCTTACGCCTTTTTCGATGGTTGTTATTGGAGTTATTTGCGATTGAAATTCATCGAAAAAGTTTAGGTACGCATTAATTTGTCCTGTTTTGTCACTTATGTGTTCATAACGACTGCTTAGGTCATTTATTGCGTCCTCGATGTAGGGTCTGTACGTTCCTAGGTTATTACGTAAGTGGTTGTTTAATATTTGTCTAGTCTCTGCTGTTGTTTCAGTTTCGCGTAACGAACCTATCACCGTGTTAAACAGCTGATGTGCAATCGCTGCGATAAGGCAGTTCCCAGTGGGGGGTATTTTTTTTACTTTTACTATGAAGTCAAGAGTGTTTAAAAATTCCGTGGAGTTTAATTATAGTGCTTTTTTTAACTTTGTTTATTTTTCTTAGTTTATGCTGTTTATGTCTTAAGTGTCAAATTTATTTGGTCTCGGTTTGTTTTACTTGAATTGTTATGTTGACAGCTTTATTGCCCTGTTCAACTTTGGTGCGTGTCCGCGATCGGCTGTTTGGTTTTTCTTGGAAAATTGACTTTTATTTTATTTAATGCCGATGATTATTGTTTTTTTTTTTTTTTTTAGTTAGGCAATGTGCCTTGTTTAGTTCAATTTGCAAATTATGTGTTAGGTCATGCGGAAGAATTGGAAATACTTAGCAAATATTTGCAGGTGGCCTGTTCCTCCCTTGTATGTCCTCTTTTGATTGGCCTGTGGAGATCGACCTGTTGACCGATGGTGCGACCGCTCAGGCACTGACACTTGTCACTCGACACTTTCTTGTCACTCAACGCTTAAGACTTTTGACCGTTTCACTATGTTCGCCTGCACCTGTCACTTCACTCCTCCTTTTCGCTTGGCCCTCAACTAATTATTGACCGTATTGTAGTCTGTACTCACTGTATTTTTTTTTACACTATAGTAGTTTGCACTATGAAGGTTTATTTGTTGGTTATGGTTTTATCGTTATACGTTTTACGTTTACTCTGCCTCTGCTGCGTCGACTTATTCACTCGACGGCTGGGACGAGAGTGGAAAAACCTGAAGACCTTATTACCAAATAAATGTGAAAGCCAACAAAATGAGGAAATTGTATTTAATAATATGAGAACCACTGAGAAAAAAAATTATATCGGAAAATTTTAATAAATTTTTCATACAAAGTATTAATAATATTGTTACTAATATTCCCACTTACAACAATCATGATTTTATCATAAATAACATTATGACTGAGGAGATACACTTAAGAAAATTTAATAAAGTAACTATGGGAGACATTAAGGAAGTAGTCAAAAATCTGAAGAATACAGGGGGCTGTGATGATGGAATATCAACAAGAATAATTAAATGTGCTTTTGAAGTAATTGGAAATTGGTTTTTGGATGTGATTAATAGTTCAATGTCAACAGGAGTTTTTCCAGAAAATTGGAAGACATCAATTATAGTACCCGTACCAAAGATCTCCAAAACTATATGTTGTGAAGAGTTTAGACCCATTAATGTAGTACCTGTTTATGAAAAAATCCTGGAAGTGTGTGTAAAAAATCAACTAATAAATTTCTGTGATATGAATAAGGTGATTGTTCCAAACCAGTCTGGTTTTCGCACGGGCCATTCGTGTGAAACGGTAATAATTCAAATTTGTGATAAGTGGATTACCAGCATAGACAACAATAAGATAATCTTGGCTGTATTTTTGGATTTTAAGCGCGCTTTTGAGACGATTGATCGAGATTTACTGTTAAAAAAGTTGGAAAAGATTGGGATAAGGGGAACAGTGCATAAGTGGTTCAAGAGTTACCTGAGCAATAGGTATCAAAAAGTAAAGTTCAATGGTGTGACATCGGAAAAAATTCAAACTACTCATGGGGTTCCGCAGGGAACTGTGCTGGGACCAATTTTATTTACATTGTTCTTAAATGATATAGTAAACTGTGTAAAATTCTCAGAAATAAGTTTGTTTGCAGACGATACAATGCTATATATAATAGGATATAACATCTGTGATATGATAACCAAAATAAATTGTGATTTAAGTAATATCTACACTTGGCTCTGTGATAATAAACTTTGTATTAATATAGCAAAAACTAAAAGTATTGTATTTGGAAGTAAGAGCAATGTAAGTAAAATTGGTAACCAAACTTTGTTACCTGTCCATATTAACAATGTAAAAATTGATTTGGTAAAAGATATTAAGTACTTGGGAGTTAAACTTGACGAAAATCTAAATTTTCACACACATGCACTTTATATTATGAATAAGATGTCAAAAAAATCATTTTTTTTTAAACGTGTTAGTAAAAATCTCTCCTTGTCAACAAAACTTCTTCTATATAAATCGACAATTGCCCCACACATTGATTTTTGTTCAACAATTCTCTTTAACTTACCTGCATATCGAATTGGGGAAATCCAGTGCATACAAAACCGATGTATGAGAACAGTATTGTATTGTAATAGATACACTCCAATTAAAACTATGTTAAATGTACTAAATTTGTTACCAGTTTGTGATAGAATATTGTTTAATACTTTAATGATTATATATAAAATGAAAAACAATATTCTACCTCAGTATTTGTGCCAAAATCTGTCATTGGTTTCTGACAGAAACATATATAGGTATTTGTAGAACAACTCAGATGAAAAACACTGTATTTTATAAAGGATTGGTACAATTTAATTTACTACCAGCTAAAATAAAAGAAAGCTTTAATATTAAACATTTTAAGACAAATTTACTTGAGCACTTCCGTAGAATCTGTGATTAGATATATATAAATTATTTATACTTTTATTGTTATACTGTACATATCTTGTATACATATTATATTTATATTGTTATTTTTTGTATAGGTATGAGATAGCTTCCTTGCTAAATAAAGATTATTATTATTTCTTTTTGTATATATATTTTAAAGAGAGTACACTTTAAAAGTATTTAAAAACATTGTAAAACTGTTGGTTAATGAATATAAAACTACATTTTTTTCTATTTGAATCAAATTTACCCGATTATTTAAATTAATATCATTTCATATGCTTTTCATGACATGATATTTCTCTGAGTGTAGCATACATGTTTGCAAAACTAGCTTGTGTTCGAATTTTTGAATTTTTAAGAATAATCCAGGGACACGACTATAAAAATTATTTTCTAAAGGTTTATAATGTATTTATAGTTATTTAAATATTTCATTAAATTATTTTTTCTTATCCACAGATCAGCTAAAATAAACTGATCGTGTGAATGGTTACAAAAAATATTGTTATATTATTTATAGTGAATTTTTTGAAAAGATTAAAATTTAATTTATTTGGTTATACAAGGTGTCCCTAAACTTATTGGCATAAATTTAGGAAAAGATTGAGCAAAGTCAAAATAAGACGAAAACCTAAATAAATATTTTTCCTAATTACGTATATTTCCAAGATACAAGGTGATAACGTGTTACTTATCATATCAGTTTTTTTAATATAACTTCTACTATGGTAGTCTTAGAAAGTTAATATTTTTCGAATAGTCACTTACTATGGTATACCAAAACACATATTCACACACAATTACAATTGTTTGAGTAAACACAGTGTCGTAAAAACGGGGGTTGCTTTAAGCTTATTGTCCCATACAAACTTTGAGGTTTTTTATAACATTTGATGCAATTTTTCGATTACACAGTTCGGATACTATTAATATTCCATGAGCCTCGGGACTTTTTGCCCTGATCGTCACATTAAAAAAATTGTAGTTTTTTCAATTAAAAAAATTGTTATCATATAACTTTTAATCCTTTAATGCGATATAACAATTATTGTAATCTCGAATATCTCGGAAACGGTTTATTTTATCGAAGTTTGAGAGGTACACCTTTTTAGTAGTAGCCGAACTGAGTAATCGAAAAATTACATCTAATGTTATAAAAACCTAACCTCAAAGTTGTATGGGACAATAAGCTTAAGCAACCCCTGTTTCTATGACACTGTGTTCACTCGAACAATTGTAATTATGTTTGAATATGTGTTTTGGTAGTAAGAGACTGTTCGCAAAATATCATCTTTCCAAGTCTACCATAGTAGAAGTTATATTAAAAAAACTGATATTATAAGTAACACTTTATCACCCTGTATCTTTTCAACATATGTAATTAGGAAAAATATTTATTTAGATTTTCGTCTTAGTTTGACTTGCTTAATCTGCTCCTAAATTTATTTATATATTTTTTTATTCTGATTTTTAGTTCGAGACTATAAATAACATGAGAGTATTATACATTTTTCTATACTTGATTTACTTTTATTTTCTCTATACTAAACTATAAATAACGCGAGAATATTTATAAATTATTACTTTACCCACTGTGCGGTGTATAGTGTGCATCCTACAGCAAATTCAATGTAAATGGCAAATTAGGTTCCTGTCCACTGCTCATCGCAATTCGCATATATTCCTAAATTTGTGTAAGTTGTACAAACATGGACCTCCGAGCCAAAATTCTTATTTGAAGAAACGTATCAGCGTAGATACTCTGTTTTAACCAGGATTTTAGTCTCAATTCGTCCTGAAATCCTGGAAAACTTGGAGAGTCTCTACTAGAGACTGTATAAGTTTTGTAAATAGTATTTACTAAATACCCAATTTCTTTATCAGGATTTCACTAAAATCGTTGAATTTACGCAAATTAATAAGTCAATATCTCGATCAGTAACTACATTTTTTACTACATTTGCACAGTTTTTGATATGATTTTTAAGTTACTTTAAAATGTTAAACTTTATTAATATTTTTCCTTTTTTTGCAAATACCCAATTTCTTTATCAGGATTTCTCTAAAATCGTTGACTCAATATCTCGATCAGTAACTACATTTTTTTATAAATATTTGCACAGTTTTCGATATGATTTTTTAAGTTACTGTAAAATGTTAAACTTTATTAATATTTTTCCTTTTTTTAGGTTTTATGTGCTTCACCAGCTTGTCAAGCTGACCTTTGGACTTCTATTCTTTAGGATAGTATACATGATCTTTACCATGTTTTACTAGTTAAATATTTGTTTTCTTATTTTTTTTTGTATGTACATAAAGGTATAAGAGGTGTTTGTAATAAAAATAATTTATTATTTTTTTGTAATTTTATTAAAATCCTAAAGAATCCTTTATACAATCCTTGCTCACTCGGGAGCTAGCGCCACTGCGGTGGAAATCGTAGGTTAAAACAACTCTTACGTAGGGTGGCGCCATTTTATATAGGGCAGGGTAGCTGTACTAACACACTTCCCCTTAAAGTGTGGACACAAACCCTAAAATCAAAAAATATACAGAAAACTGTTTTACTGTGTTAGAATAAAAGGTTTGGCAATAAGCGCTTTAGAACGGTAAAAAATATAAATTAGTAATTAATATATATTTCTTTGTTACTTAATTAAACATTTAGTTATTATTTTTTTATTTTATAACGAAAGACACATTTTTAAACAAAATTGCAAAACAAAGAAAAAACAAAAAAACATTTAAATATTTAAAACTTTAAAACTTATTAAATTTATACTCTCCGATTTGATCAAATTTTGCATACGGTACAAAAATAGTCTTTTTTTTAACATGTGCCTTAAAATTAAAAAAAAAAAACCTATTTACACAGTAATAAAATATTTTTTAATTTTAACCAAATATTATCCAGATTTTATGTTAATTCAGGTCCACATAACTTTATGTTTTAATTAATTGTTGGAAATTGGGAAGTTTAATGAAAATAATTTTGATAAAAAATGTTGTTTTATTAATCAATTTCCTAAACAAAAAAATAACACATACCTACATAAATAAACACAAAAATATCATACACACCATTCTAAAATCATCAAATTATAAAGAAATTTGTTACTACTACTTTCGGATACTTCGCACTTCGCACACTCGTTAAATAAGTATAAGGAATCCGAATAACAATAATAACATATTTCTGGTTATATATTATAAACACAACTGAACAGTTGTTACTAAGACATTACGAATTAGAATAAAGTAAGCTCAAACATAAATTACAGTCATTTGTACTTTGTTGATGCGTAAAAAAATTGTTAAAATTTTATAAAATAAAAATAACAAACTACAAACTCATGTTAACCAATCTGATTTTGATAACAGTGTATTTTTATAATTTTTATGTTCTCCCCTGCAAAGTTTTATAAAAATTAAAATAAGATTACTACTACAAAAGAGGGAGTTAAAATTTTGTCATTTTGTCATTTTGTCTTATTTTAGTTTTTCAAAATGGCAGAACAAAGGCCAAAACCTACAAAACTTAAAATCAAACTCAAAAAAAGTTCCTTTATTCTTAGATTAGGTATATTCATATTGACGTTTAATACTCTTACATAGTTTTAGTTAATGCTCATAAAATGCTAATAAAAATTTTTTACGGGAATCAAAGAAGTGAACGTGATAGAGCCGTAAATGTGGATATTATGTCCATTTTTGTTAATTACAACTTGTACATAAAAATAACTTTTAAAAGAAATGACCCATTTATTTGATATTTGGCAAAATATAACTTACTAACAAACTCAACACATGTACAAAATTTTATGTTTCTAAAGTTCTTAAGTTATTTAATATACAGTAAGATGGAACTCCATGAAAAATGTTTTATTTATTTCAACAAAATATTTTTATAAAGTTGCACCTTACAAACAATAATTGTAACGTTTTAAAAATCTTAAGTTCTATTTTACTATAGTATACTTAAATCATTTTTAAAACGTTAAAAATTTTATTCCTTTATAGAATTATGTTAATGCTTGTTATATAATAATATATATATAATATAAAAAAATTGAACAAATATTACTTTTATAAATATGGGGCTCTATTTATTTGTATAATAATGAGAGAATTTTTACTCTCGCTTTTTTAGAAGTTGTTATTTTAATTTTAAAAAAGCCTTGCCGAGGCAAACAAAAAGATTCAAAAAATAAATAATAACCGTAAACCGTATACAAAATTTGAGCCAAATCACGTAATGTCCAACATTGGTCCCATTTGAAAGAATTACCCATATAATAACATGTCAATATTAATTTTAAGTTATTTTAAAACTGTTAACAATACGTTAATAAATATATCGTACAGTACCTACTAAAAGTTTGGGAATAATTTATCAAATTTATGCTTTATACTTTATGGTATTTCCTATCTTATCTTGTATATTTTGTTATCGTTTAATACTGTTAATTAATTATTTAATTATGTTTAATTATTGATACGTTTAATATACTTATGATTTCTACTAAACTATTGCTTTATGCACGTATTATAAAAACGAATCTTAACCTTAAATCCAATTAATCCTACCTACTCTTTATTTTTAATGTTTTTGTCTTTTAAATTTTCTAGTAATTTTAAGTTTGTATACGTTACCAAACAAAAAATCGCTAAAATATCAAAGCTGCCATGATGAACTGGATTTCTTAGTAACCATTCCCAAAACAGTTTTCTCCGTGTATATTTGCTAAAACACCGCTTTGATCAGACTAGCAATTCGAAGCATTTCGATTTTTTTAATTTTTTTTTTAATAAATGAACGGATTATGAATTTCAGGTTTAACAAACTCTAGTGGGAATTGACACCGATTTTTTGGTTAACCGTTTTTTAGGTTTTAACCAATCCGAAAAACCTTTTATTCGGTTTTTGGTTAATTGCGGTATAAACCGAAGAAAACCCATGACAAGGTAAAATGTCAAATTTGAGGAGGTCCATTCCAAAACTCGGCTTATCCATTTTAGTTGTTTTCGAGCGTGTAAGGTTTTTGACATTTACGCGTGAGTACTAACGCATATCAGGCAAACACAATACTTTAAACGAAATATAAACGCATAAGTAAAACATTTATATACCTTGATAAAATAATTTAAAATTACATACGTATATGCCGAGTTCTGCATAACCAATAGAAAAGGCAAGTTTTGGAACGAAAGTCAATTTGTAAATGAATTTTAAATGGAATAAGGTTAGTTTTAGAATATTATGAACTTTTCAGGGTATAGGGGGATACATGTTAAATGTACAGACACCACTAACTCATTTTTATTAAAAAGTGGATAAGCCGACTTTTGGAATGGACCTCCATTTAATAACTTTGTAATTCGTAAAATCGCTGAACAATTGTTTTCATTACCTTATTTTATATTTTGGACTATTTACATTGCATATGCATGCAAATGGAAAACAAGAGTGAACAATGTTATACACCCACTACAGAAATATTGGGAGACAAACACTGATAAATATTTTAGATACCTATAAACCCCAAAAAAGTTTTGTTTGACAATAAGTATTATTTTAAGTTTATCTGTATACGTTTTAGTTTAATATTATTTGTTTTTAAATAAAAAAAAAATCTTTAATAGTTTTCTAATTTATCAATTTTTTTATTCCCGACTTTAGCTTCTATAAATTTATTTCCCAATCCTTGGTTTTGGTTAACCGAATTAACCGATTAACAGGTTTTTAATAATAATTCGGTTAATCCATTTCAACCAAAGCTGACTTCTTTAAAAATCGATTATTCGATTTTTTATGGTTTTGCCAGCTTTATTATAAAACAACTTCGATTTAGATTGCTGCTGTAAACTTGTGATTTTGTGCAGCCCTAAAAAAGTAATCCAAGGTTTTCGAATGACACGATCCCTGCGCCCAATTAGATAACCATTTCTTGCAATTATTGACTCACCAAACTTTTCACGCAATGGGTCCATTGTAATGACGTCAATGTGGCAAGTCTCACCATCTTGATGATCTTGATGATTTGTGAAAAAATAACTTACTTACTGAACACAAATCACAGCAAATGTCGACGACTTTTTTGGCATTCAATTTCTTACTGATTTGTTCATGTTTATATTATCTGCATAAACTAAGGGTCGAACATCACCCTTCTCAAACAAAATTAAGCAAACGAAAAATTTCCTACCTGTAAAAATATCATCATCCAGCATCATCCTTTCTTCTTAACGCGGATGACCTTTTTAAAAAAAAATAAACCGGTTCTCACACAGTAAAAGGGTCCGAAAAAAACAAAATAAAAATTGACCCTTGATTTGCATACCGGTTTGACCACTGTGGGAATCTTGCAAGGGTTCAATTGTTTGACAATGGGCATTTTTTAATGGTCAACAACGTTACTCAACGGACTTTTGCATTGTTTTCCTCTCTGGGCAGATGTATCTCGACAATGAGTAAAAAATTTGGAAATATTTTTTGATAAAACGATGCGTAATTCAAATTCCTGGAAAATGATGTGCTACTTGATATACTTTGCATTAAAAACAAGTAAATTATAGTCAAAAATGACAAAACCATGGCTAACTTTGATAAAAATTAAATTTGTTGTAGCAGGCTTATTTTAAGCTTAAATATAGATTCAAATTCCAATCGCAAAAAATTATATTTTATTCCCTTTTTAATAAACATAACAAAATATAAAAAAGATGAATTTTTACAAATCAAAATTTACTTAATTTTTGTTGCAAAAACACCAAACTCATGACCTGCTTTGACAAAGACATTTCTTCATTTATCAGCATTATTTTACATTGAAATGTAACAAAATATACACCACATGAAGGGATTTTCATTTCTCCACTGACTTATGCTATTTTAGTAATCGGAACACTCAGGTACGCATTTAAGAAACAAAAGATTTATTTTTTAACGCATAAAGGTGAACAGCTGTGTCCAGATGGTCGAAGTGACCCTTTTGGCGAGAATTTGCATACCCGTTTGACCAGTTTTCTTACAAGGGGTGCGAAATAAGGGGTCGAATTTGACCTTCTCAACCCTTTTGCTACTGACCATACCATACATGTATGTGCGTATGGGTTTAGTGGAAATAATTGTTTAAAAAGTTAGTTGATTCATTAGGCGTTGTGGGTAGAGATGTTAATTTTAGTGGAGAAAATAGTTAAATTTAATTAAATGTGTTTTTGTGTTGGTGATGTGTTTTATTGAAAGTTTTGTTGCGGTTTGTTTTAACGGGTAACAAATTTATGTGTAATGCGGTTTGTCACAGTAAAAAGTAAAACCATTAATCTGAT